CATGATACATGAAATTCAGAATACAAAGGATTGCGACATGCATGATAAATAAAAATGTATTTTTTAGTAAAATTATGATGAGAATGAGATGCCCACGGATCACACGCATGTATAAGGATGTAACAGTGTCTCCAAGGCTCCAACTACGTACATACAACCCACAAAACTAGAAAAAGGACAGTGTGACGTGTAAATTATTCACTCTTTGGAATAAACATTTTTTTAAAAATTAATTTTTCTTCTTTTTGTATTTATGTGCATAGAATTGAACTTTGGAATTGAACTTAGGTTCCCTTTTGCAAAAGTTGATGTTGACCTTTTATATTCTTCTTGTACGTATGAAAAAACTAAGAAAAATATTATTTAAATTAAAAAAAAAAACAGACTCCTAAACAAAATGGGCTTTAAAAAGGAAAAGCACATCTAAAAGAGAACAAGACATACAAAACAGAAGGCCTAAAATTCTGCAATTGTTAGATTCCAGATAGCTACGAGCATTGGTCATATATTCATATTCCATAGTTTCATATTAATTCTTTTTAAGTTTCTTTTTTCTATTATTTTGAGTGACAAACAACATCTTGACGCATTCGAGTCACGATTTAGATTCGCTGTCAATCTTCTACGATGATCTATCTACTTTAATTTTTATCGCATTTCAATTATGTTGTATTAATGTGAGAGGATGCTTCATTCCATTTTTTTGTACTCTGATCATTTAAATGAATGAAAAACTTATTGACAAAAAAAAAATATCTTTTTCTATTTGCAATGTCAAATTTCTTTAAATTTGTAGCTTTGTATATTATCAAATATATACATTATTATATTATACAGTGATAACAATGATATTAATTATCTAGTCCTATTTAGTTATTAAAAACAAAAATTAACATTAATGAAAACACATATTAAACATCCCTGATACATTAAGGTATAACAAATATCAAAATACAATTTATGTTGAAACGGTATCAAGAAAAAAGCTATATCCTTGTGTCACGAAAAAATAGTGTCAAGAATTTGAAGATAACTAGATAAGCATGGTCGATAAGGAATATGTAGAATGCAACACGATTGATGAAAAAATAAACAAAGCGGAAATAAAGAGTAACTCTCTTTCTACCAAAAAAAAAAAGAGTAACTCTCTGAAGTTGGACCAATAAAATCTGTAAATAATGACTTAGCACCACAAAAAGATCGTTTATTTTTATCAAAGCTTTTAGGGAAAGATTCGCCATACTCACCAATACATAATAACACAATTTCCATTTGCGTCACAATACGATAAATATAGAGTATTGAGGGGAATAAATAAAGTGCATCTTTTGGTATTTGACATGTTCAATCTCAACCATTGGTTTGCCATCGTTTCATCTTTTAACCCCTAAACAACATTCTACTCTGGTCTATTCTATATTGCCAGTTTAGAGCG